TTGATCGAGCACGATGACGAAATGTGATCCATATAGTCGATCTCATTTAGTAGCAGTACATAAAAAAATATATATTTTGACATTTACTATTTGTATGTTAGTCTTAATTTTTTAAGTTACAAATTTAAGTACTTTTTACATTTAATTTTTTCAACTAAACGGGGTAAGAATGACGCTCTACGTAATAAAAAGGTAAGACTATACGATGAGAAAGTTTATAGCGCGCATTTAATTAGAAAGTCAAAAAGTGACAAATTAATTAATGTTCGTATCAGTTGGAGTTGGCTAATGGAAAATATAAAACATAATCAAGTTGCACATTTATTTTAACTACAACTTTTAGTACATAATAAATGTATATATATATATATATATATTGACATTTAATATTGGCATGTTAGTCTTAATTTTTTAAGGTACAAATTTAAGTTCATTCTATCTTTAAAGTTTTTTCAATTTTGAAATGCTTTATGGATTCGAGTATTGTGCTACTAAATATAAAAACGATCAAAAAATGTGAGTGGAATAAATGAGAATGCTGAGATTGATGTGTTGAGGTAGTTCCCATAGAGGAGAAAATGATAGAATCCCGATTAAGATGGTTTGGGCATATGCGTAGGAGAAATTTAGATGCTCTGATGAGAATTGTAAAAACATTAGAATTAAAAACGTAAATTAAAAGGGGGAGGGGTAGATCTAAGAAAACTTGGAAGGAAACAATAAAAAATAATTTAAAATATTAAAATTTTAATGGGAATAGGTGTTTTGATCGAGCACGATGACGAAATGTGATCCATATAGTCGATCTCATTTAGTGAAATTTTAACGGCGTTGTTGTTGTTGTACCCTTTTTATAGGTAATCATTTAATATTGGGATGTTAGTCTTAATTTTTTAAGTTACAAATTAAAGTGCTTTCTACATTTAAATTTTTCAATTTTAAAATGCTTTATGGATCCGAGTGTTGGACAACTAAATATAAGAACGATCAAAAAATGGGAGTGACATAAATGAGAATGTTGAGATTGATGTGTGGACGTACTAGATTAGATATGATTAGAAATGAAAATATTTTAAGTAAAGTTGGGGGCATAATTTCAAAATTGGTCCTCTAACTTGGCCACTTTCCAAAAATGCACCCCGCCATTGGCCACTTTCATTATGGGTCCTATAAATTGTTCATTCAATCAAAATTGGTCCTATTTTATCTGCCCCTCGGATTAAAAATGGGACATGGCGTTTTTAAAGCTGACGTGGCGTGACTAAAGTTTACGTGGCAGGATTATGAAATATTTACCTAAATTAAATAATCCACATCATCTCCAGCCTTTAGATTCAATTAATTAAAACTTTCAAAATTGCACAATAGTCCTCAAAATTTATTAAATTCTTATAATGATTCCTTGCAATTAAAACTTTCAGAAATCATCCGCTTTGCCGCCGACCACCGCTGTCCTTTGCCAGCCGCCGGTCGGCCACCTCTGATTGAATTTTTTTTTTGTATCATCTTGAAGCTCTCCTCCTCATTCACCTCCTACAATTTCCGGCGAAAATTCCACTTGTAAGGCAGTCAATTGCTCCGTCAAATTTTTTAGATCTTGAAAATTCCGGTCAAAAGCCTCAATTTTCCGGCGATTCACGGTGACCCACCGAAATTCAAAGATACCACGAATTCCTTAGACCATCGTGCACCCGATGACGTTCACCATCTCCAGAACCGATGAATTTTACGGCAACCCATTTTTTGGGCGGGT